TATTTTGCAGAAGGGTACAAAATAAAAAACAATTACAAATAATAATAAAAAAAGAATAAAAAATAAAATAAAATAAAATAAAGAAAAGAACACATATTCAGACATGGGGTATGATTTCAGTGCTGAAAATCAAAATAAAATGTATATAAAATAAAACAATAAAAAATAATGAAAATTTTTAATTTAAAAATTAGGTTTAGATTCTCTACATTTTGTATATTTTTAAAGACTCTGATGGCTGTGTTCGTACACTTTCGGTACTAAATGAAGAACTTACTTTAAATTTCTAAAAATAAATAAATCGGTCCCCAAAACTTAATAAAACAATAAAATAACATAAAATGAAATAAAATAAATTTTAACTATATTTTGCATGGTATAAAATAAAATGACAGTAATAAAAACATGAATGGAATTAAATTAAATTAAAATTTTAAATTGATATTCACTAGACTTCAAACTATATTTAAGCTTTTGGACAGCCTAGTGACTTTACATAACTGACTCGACTAGATTAATTGTTAAATGATGAGCAGCTGAAACGTGTGGGTCTGCAGTTTTGAAGTATTTTCAATACAGAGAGCTTAGTGAGGCTTTAATGGCTGACAGCTTTAGAGCAAATGAACAACGTTACAGAATCCCACCTGAACACACAGAGATAAATCCAGAAGAGAAACAGCTCGTGTTGGACGGGTGTGACACACGGCATACAGTAGAGCTCGTGGTCCGTCCGTCTCGAGCACGTACCTCACAGTTCGCTCCTCGCTTGAGGAACCGCGTGCCGGCGAAGCGGCTGGAGCGGCGGGCGATGAGCGTGACGTGCACCGGCCGACCGTAGATCAACAACTCTTTAATAACTCCGTTAAAGAACAACAGCACAAAACATCTGACATCAACACACTGCACATCTGAAGAAGAGTTCATACAAATAGGCCTGTCGCAATAATCAATATATCGACTTATCACGCAATATATGAACATGACCTCAATTATTATTATATTTACTTAAAAATGAATGTCACCGTGTTTTTTGCATTCCACTTGCGCCCGTGTCTTTTGCAGCTTCTCGTACAAAACGTGGCGTAGTCGGTGCTAGTTCAAATTTAATAAATGCTTCTACAAACAAAGTTTCATCTGCAGATATGGTCTTGTTTAGGGATTTTTGTGCATACGGAGTAGTGATTGTGTTTTCAGCAATAGTGTGCACGCTTAATTTACAGAGAAAGAAGGTCTGGGAAAAATCTCCATACAAGTTCTTTCTGCATTTTTCTACTTGTTACTTTGCACTTTTTGTTAGAAAATGTTTATTTACTATTTATTTAGGTATCTAATATTTTGATACTTCATTTCCGTGATCTAAATATTCTTAAAAATTCAAAGTTTGTTGTCATTTGGAAGTGTGTAGGCCTTTATTCTTGATATATTTATGGTAGGAAATGTACAAAATATCTAAATCTTTGCTTAATATCCTAATGATTTTTGGCATAAAAGAGAAATGTATAATTGTGACCCATACAATGTATTGTTGGCTATTGCTACAAATATCCCCCAGCGACTTAACACTGCTTTTGTGCTGCAGGGTCACATTTTGCTCCTATGAATGCATTAGGCGATTAAATCCTTCAGAACTCAATGGCAGCGTCTCCATCGGTCTGCTTTAATGCTGTGAACTCGTTCACTTCTCCTTCAGGATCCTCACAGGGAGAAACCACAAGCAATCAACAGCGCCAGACTCTCTCCGGTTGATATTCTCGCTCTCTTTGTGTTTCTTTAGCTCGCTTTTTGTTCAGTTTTGACCCTCCTGAACCTTCTGCTGGGAAAAACAGCTCATATCAAGCTGCTTACTAGAACACAGTTTGTTACAGGCTCACGGTGATCTCGTGGGTCAAAACCAGGTTCACTAGCAGGTAGTTCAGCTGATGAACCCTCTAACCCAACCAGCTAGAAGCCACGCGATACTATCAGAAGTGGGTTTTAGCTGCATTTTGCAGGATAAAATAAAATAATAGGTTTTAAATATGTATTAATAATTGTAAAAACAAATAATCTATGCATTTTATTTAAAATAGTGATTAATGTATTTAGCTAAGGGTGCAAAACAAACAAAAAAAATTATGAAAAATAAAATAAGTAGATTTATTTTTGTATTTTGCAGAAGGGTAAATAAAAAAAATACAAAATAAAGATAATAAAATTGCTGGTTTTAACTGTATTTTTCAGTAGGTTACAGATTAAAACAAAAATAAATGTTTAAATAAAATAAGCCATTTTTGTAAAACTGTATTTTACAGAAGAGTACATAAACATATTATTTAGGAGAAGGGCACTAAATAATTTTATAAAATAAAATAAAATAAAACTATTTTGCAGAAGGGTACAAAACAAAATAAAATTTTTTTTAAAAATCGGTTTAAATAGCATTTTGCAGAAGGTTACATAAAAAATTAGAAAGAAAGAAAAAAGTAGGTTTTAGCTGTATTTTTGCAGCATATGTGGAAAGCAACTGTAAAACTAGATCCCACCCAGGAAAACTCGAGAATGCTGACTTCACTGTGCGTGAATATTGCTGTTACATTCAGTTCATGGATGCTGTTTCTATTGTTGTATCTCACACACACACACACACACACACACACACACACTGCTTTAATGCTGTGAACTCGTTCACTTCTCCTTCAGGATCCTCACAGGGAGAAACCACAAGCAATCAACAGCGCCAGACTCTCTCCGGTTGATATTCTCGCTCTCTTTGTGTTTCTTTAGCTCGCTTTTTGTTCAGTTTTGACCCTCCTGAACCTTCTGCTGGGAAAAACAGCTCATATCAAGCTGCTTACTAGAACACAGTTTGTTACAGGCTCACGGTGATCTCGCGGGTCAAAACCAGGTTCACTAGCAGGTAGTTCAGCTGATGAACCCTCTAACCCAACCAGCTAGAAGCCACGCGATACTATCAGAAGTGGGTTTTAGCTGCATTTTTGCAGCATATGTGGAAAGCAACTGTAAAACTAGATCCCTCCCAGGAAAACTCGAGAATGCTGACTTCACTGTGCGTGAATATTGCTGTTACATTCAGTTCATGGATGCTGTTTCTATTGTTGTATCTCACACACACACACTCACACTCCCACTCACACTCACACTCACACACACACACACACAGGCCTGAAGCACAGCTCAATAATGGCTCTCTGTAGCTGGGAAATAATTGATGGCTGATGTTTCTCTCTTCAGGGTTTGTTCTGTGTTTTAGCAGAGAGTCGAGCCGAATAAATCCACACTCATTAATCGGTCTTATTGTTATTTTTAACCAAGTCAAAGCTGTTTTAATGTAATTGTAGAAACGTCCCGGTTTTGCTGTCAGATCTTGACTGGTTTTTCTCAAGTAAGCGTCAGAATAACGTCAGTAATATCTCCAGATGAACTCTTACTGCACTGAAGCAGCTCAGCTTTACTTGATTCTCCATCAATCATGTTTTAGAGTCTCAAATCTGATCCTCAGGATCTTTTGAGGAGCGTTTGTTTCCAGAAGCTTTACTTTCACTGTTCCTCAGCGGAGGAATGATCTTCACAAGCCTCCAGAACATCTCACATCTTCTGAGGAGCCTTTATTTCTTCAGCTCTCAATCACTGCATTATATGTTTGGA